CATTCCCGCTCATGGATTACTCTGAACGTGTTCCAGCGCGGAATTGCCTGAAGGAGTACTTAATCATTTAGTAAGGACAGTCAATTGGTATGAGTTAGTTTTTAAATCCTTTATATTAAGTTTGCTTGCTTGCTTGCTTACGACCGTGCAAATCTTTCGGTCGTTTTTTAACCCACTTCCCGTGATCCAATCGAGCTGACATTTTGCACACAGACTCGTTGTGCGTGACAATGTATTTTACACCTTTTAGGAAAATAAAATTATATTTAATTACCAATTGCTTAATGGTGGCAGACAATCATCTGACCCATAGGTGGCAGCCATCTCAAGCCAGAGGACGAGAGGACTCTAGCCGCCCGTTTCAAAGACCAATGAGGGCTGGGTTGTGGCCCATTGAACACGCATATAAAGGATTTATAGTGAAAAACTTTGTTTTTACGGGTTAATTTTTTTAGTGTTGCGTTGTTAATGTGCATCTATTTTGTTATCGTGTCGCAGTATGAGGTAGCGGTGGTGACGAAGGAGGGCTCCAAGGTGCTGCCCCCCGCCACCCTGGAGACCAACTGGGACATTGCCCACATGATCAAGTGAGTGCTGGAACAGCTGCGAATGTACAGAGTATGTATGTTGAACTACTTTGGCACGGTACGTAACCAACTGCTAATCGGAGGTTTTCACACATGACATAAACCTGCCACCTCATTTGCTATTAACAGGCTTGTTCTTTTTAATGGGCATCATGTGCGTTCCGTAAAAGCCTCCTTTCGTAATAATAAAATTAACTAGAATTGTAATTAAAATTTGGGTTAGGCCGCATAATCATGTTCGCAATATTCATGCCCATGAATACCTCCAGCGCCCGACAACCAAATAAATAAAATTGTCACTTGCACAAGCATTGAATGAGCCATGTTATTCTTGTTTTAGCTCACCGGTAAGTTGAGGAACAATTTCCACAACCAAATGTAGCAATTGGATGTGATGTTTTGCTTGATACTGCATCAATCATTTTCAGGTGAGAGACCAGGAGGTAATTCTGACTTTCTGGTCGTAATATTGGCAACAAAAACCTTCATATCAAGATATAACTAACATGTTTGTGTGTTCTTGTGTTGTGTTGCAGGGGATTTGAATGAGGATCTCTGTTGGATGCGTGCGTTCCTGGCTATAGTTTGTGGGGGTGGTGAAAAGATACCCGATGCAGATTGGATATTGGAGTTTGTTTTTATTTCCAGGATGATGTTTGTTTTTTCACAAGTTGTATGCGAGTATAAGTTGTCCATTACGCGGGTCCTAGAGAGGCCCTACTTTTGCAACGTGAAAACAAAAAATGTACCTGACCGCGGCGTTAATAATAAACCCATTCAATTACGAAGTCTTGTTGTGAATTCATTTGTGGGTGCATGCAGTGATACAAGGCTACCACTAGGGAGCAGTGTTCGACAGCCCCAGTTCACAATGCCCATGACTGCCCAGTCACAATGATGTAGTTTTGCTGTGTAACGATCACTGGATGTGCAGGCAGCTCCATTGTAAACAGTGTAATCCGGTGAGGTGGTAACACACTAGTTAGTGCAGTCAGACAGATCCTACACGGAGTTCAATTATTGGCTATGGTTAACAGTGGAGCATGATGTCTGAACTGATTCTGAGCTCCCTCTTTCCTGAACACACACTGAACAGCAAAGTGGTTTATGGTCAAACAGCCCCTGTGAGAAACATGTGGACAGTATTTCATTCAGCAGTGGATTGACATAGGGATGTGCACAGGCCAGTACGGTGTGGGTCCGTTAACCTTCTCTTGCCTCTCGCCCAAGGTCACCCCATCAGTGACCCAATCAACCACCCAATACATCATGTGCTTATACAGCACATTTGTCAATCCACTGCTGGATGAGGGCCCTCTGCCCCATGCTGTGCTGGGTACACCTCACCACGCTGGTTGGTGCAGGTTAGTGAAGGCGGGGAGCATAGACGGAGCATCGTCCAAATACATTCACCATCGTGTAATTTGCAACAGCACTGCACTAAGCCTGTACCCACATCTCCATGAATATCCAATCTACCTTTCATGTGATTTTATAAGAGCCAATACGATACTTGTTGCTATGGCAGGAAAATTGTATGACCATCTTGTCAGGATATTTCCCGTAAGCTCTAAAACTAGTTGGTACAAAACATACCGTGCAGTTTTTCTGAAACCACAATGGCCACATCTGTAAAACATTTGGATAATGACAGCTACAGTAAGCTTAAAAAATATATTTTTATGAATCATGATCAGAATGACATCGTATTACAATCCATGGTTTAAAAGTTGTCGAATAAATGTGACATTGTTTATCAAGGAATGCCTCAGTATCTAAACTTTTTCAAGTGGGGTCCTCCTAAGTTTTTGCAATAGGTGGTGATGTTGCCAATTGTTTAATTTGCTGGTAACATTTCAGCATTGGGATGTTTTTCCATTTCTAGTTATGTTGTATGTTTTTATTTTAGCCATTGGAGGAAACTGGAAGAAACCTACGCAGAACAGGGGGAGAACATTTATACATACAAACTCCACGCAGAAAGGTGCCGGATTCAGGAATTGAACCCAGGCCCTTGTTGCTGTGTGGCACAAGTGTTGCGGCTACACCAATCCTGTCGTCTTGACGTGAATTCTAATCGTGAGACGTGGAGACATTCATATAGCAGTGGACAAATCACGGCTGACGATTGCTTTGGATGTGCATGTTGAAACTGATAATGGTGGAAGATTAGAGATTCTTACTCTTAGGTTTTTTCGGTAAAGTCACGTAGGTAAAAAAAAACATTAAAAGTAAAATAAAAAATCACGACATTTCAGAGGCAACACAAGCTTCCGTCTTCAGGTGGAACCGTCACAGCACGATTGCTGTATAAAGTAAAGAAATTCCAAGAGACCCGACCTTGTATATATACCTGAAGACGGAAGCTTGTGTTGCCTCCGAAACGTCGTGATTTTTTATTTTACTTTTATTAATTTTATTTTTTACCTACGTGACTTTACCGAAAAAAACCTTAGAGTATGAATCATTGCAGTCACGAAAGCTTCAAATCTACAAGTAGAGATTTTATTTACAACTTCTCCTTGAACAGAACACAACCCAGATGTTAGCCACGCTTTTAAGTATTTTCTCAAATATCTGGAAAGCAGACGTGTGACGTGGTTTCTCCAAAGTTATTCACAGTGACCATCCAGCAGTGGGTTGACCATGGCTAGTGATGTCGATTGGAAATACTTATATTTAGTAAATTTTTCGATTTAAAGCTTTCGTGACTGCAGGGATTCATCTTGGTTCTTTCGGTAAAGTTACGTAGAAGGGAAATAATAAAATAATAAAAATTAAACAATAAAATACAATTCTCACGACGTTTCGACCTGTTCTTCACCTGAGGACGGCTACTTGCCTTGTGGCCGAAACGTCGTGAGAATTGTATTTTATTATGTTTTATTTTTATTATTTTATCATTTCCCTTCTACGTGACTTTACCGAAAGAACCAAGAAGATATATTTAGTAACTTTGGTTACGATTTTTCACTCCAATTATTTGCGTGTCCAGATAGTCCCCGAGTTACGACGGTCCGACTTACGATATTTTAATCTTACGATAGCGATACGATACGTTCAATGCATGTTAAAAGTTTTTATAGCAGATAGGATTGTTTCCTGAAAAAACTTTCTACTAAATCGCAAGAATGTACCTTGTTTTTTTTTACTTTACATTTTACTGTGTAATTAATAAATGCATACAGTATATAGTTGATACAGTACGGTACTGTAAATTGCTCTGTTTTGCTAAATTATCACAATTCTTTAAGACTCCTGGGTAGGCTAAGTCATCTTCGACTTACAATATTTTCGTCGTAACGCATCTCCGTCGTAAGTCGAGGACTACCTGTATCGACTGCTTTGTTTGTATTGACTGGACATCTATGGCAAAGAGCTTCAGAGCTCATCGGATTCTAAATCAAAATTCTGATTCTTATTCTATGGTTCTTTCGGTAAAGTCACGTAGATAGAAAAAAAATAACAATCAAATAATAAAAATAAAGTGAATAGAAATAAATAAAATATCACTTTTTTTTATAACTTAATTGTTATTTTTTCCTTTTCTATCTATTGACTTTACCGAAAGAACCATGCACCAAAGTTTTAAGTCAAAAATTTATTCTGATTCTTAATTCCTACGCTTACTCTGTGTCGATGAAATCGCGTTACGAGCAAGAATCTATTAACATTGCCCAGAGAAGCATCGGAATCTAAATCATAACACCGTAATCGAAATCGATTTTAGCACTATGTATATATCAAACGGAATCGATCTCTCTTATTCTGAGGTTTTTACGGTAAAGTCACGTAGGTAAAACATCAAAATTAATGAAAATAAAATAAAACAAAAAAATTTGTGATTTTTGTTTTATTTTATTTTCATTAATTTTGATGTTTTACCTACGTGACTTTACCGAAAAAACCTAAGAATATGAATCCTTGCAGTCACGAAAGCTTCAAATCTAGAATCGATCTCTCTTATTCAACACCCGATATCGATCCATAACGGGAGTGGGGCGTAAGACGCGGGGTGGGGGGGGGTGGGTCGGAAGCCGCGTGACGTCACGCGTGCGCGCGCGCGACTTCCGAATCCCCGCGGCGTTGACCAATCGCGACGAGGAAGGCTTCGCTTCTCCTCGAGAAGCTGACCAATGGCAGCTCGGCATTTGCGGCTGGGTGGGGGGGTATTGGTGGGGGGGGGTGTGGGTGGGGGGGGGTGGGAGGGGTGGGGGCGGAGCTTGCGCGCGCGCGCGGTGGTCAGAGACGGAGAGCGCGCGGGAAGAGCGACATCGGCGGAGTGCACGGGGGGAGAAGGGCACCTGCAGAGTGGGGACTTGGAGAGTGGGGACTTGTAGAGTGGGGACTTGTAGAGTGGGGACTTGTAGAGTGGGGACTTGGAGAGTGGGACTTGTAGAGTGGGGACTTGGAGAGTGGGGACTTGTAGAGTGGGGACTTGTAGAGTGGGGACTTGGTGAGTGGACACCTGCAGAGTGGACAGTGGGGACCTGCAGAGTGGGGACTTGGAGAGTGAGAACCTGGACAGTGGACACTTGGTGAGTGGACACCTGCAGAGTGGGGACTTGTAGAGTGGGGGCCTGCAGAGTGGACACCTGGAGAGTTGGCACCTGATGAGTGGGGACCTGCAGAGTTGGCACCTGGTGAGTGGGGACTTGTAGAGTAGACACCTGCAGAGTGGACACCTGGGCAGTGGGGACTTGTAGAGTGGACACCTGGTGAGTAGGCACCTGGTGAGTGGACACCTGCAGAGTGGCGACTTGGAGAGTGGGGAGGGGGGGCACCGTAAGGTCACAGGGTACCTTGCGATATCAGGGTGTGAGGACATCCAGAGGACCTGGAGTTTCAAGGCGGGGGGCACACTGCGTGAAGAAGATACCCGAGTTCTGAGGTTGCGGGGACACAGGGAGGTTGAGGGAGCCTGAGGGCTCGAGGCTGACGGGAGAGGAGGGGGGTGGAGATCTGTGAACTTGAATATGGATTTTCGAGGCACGGGATCCGGGGACTGGAATTTGTGGTCTCGGGGATAGGAGATCTGTGGTTCGAATCGCGAGGCCCCGGCATCGGTGCCCTGTGGGACCTGAGTGAGGAGACCGTGGAAGTGAAGACGGAGAGACCCGGGTGAGGACATCCGGTTACCTGCAAAGCTCGGGCGCGAAAGCCCAGAGCCCGTGCTCTCTCGGTTAGAAAGGGACACTTTGGTGGTTGGACATTGAGATCTTGCCAAAGCACGTGGGACTTTACTAAACGTGGACCTGGCATATGACCTTGGTGGCAAGAGGAACCTAAGCAAGAAGAGTTTGTTCAGAACACCCAGGACCTCAGGAGCGGAAATACAAAGTTCTGAGGTCAGCAGGCCTGTGCGTGCCGGAGATACAAAGGCTCTGGATGAGGAGACCAGGTCCTGGAAGTTTTGAGTTGAGCCCTCCGGCACGTGGTCCAGAGAACGGAGACCTGGAGCCGAGGACACAAGGACCTGGGTACGGGGGCCTGCGACCTTATTACTCGGGTCATCTGGGACGCGAGGACGGGAACCTGGTACCTGGAGATCTGAGGCACGGGGGACCTGTGCCCTGGGGACGGGGCCAGGGACACAGGGACCTGGGACCGGGAACCTGGAACCTGTGTGGAGACCCCCATGGAGGACGAAACTGGAGCCACCCTTTTGGTGGCCGGACAGGTATGCCTGTAGGACGGGGCATGAGGCCCTGCCCCCCTGTGTGTATTGAGCTGAGCATGGGGCATTGTGGTTGTGTGGGGCCATGCCCAATGTGGCGGTATGGGGTGCACGGGAAACCTGCTGCATTTGTACCTATCCAGCCTGGACGGAGTTCCAGAATCTCCCTGCTTTGGTGCTCGCCGCATTGCTGTGTGGTGATGTGTTCCTACACCAGACGGACGGAGGCGTTGCGGTTAGTTCCCATAATGGTATGTTCTGCCCTAGCTTGACGTTGCGGTGCTGAGACAGTGTTACTGACCACAGGAGTGAGTGCAGTGCCAAGCGTGGTGTTTGTGTGCTCGTGCGGCGTTGGTGTGGTGTCTGTAAGATGTTGTTCTTTGCGGTACTCTTCGTGGTGCGGCGGTAATGGTGCGTGCGGTGCCCGTTGTGGTTCACGCAGCCCAGGCGCAGGCAAGTGGAGGATGCAAAATGAATCGGCACATGGGGGTCATGTCCGGTGACAAGGAGCTGAATGACCTTCTGGACTTCGAGATGGTGAGTGGCTTCGGCAAACTTACTCAAATACCCTCACGATGAAAACTCGCTGTTGAAACCCACAGTGATGGAGCATCATGGATGGACTCTCATTAATGGACGCTCACTAACATAACCTCAAAATAACAGAACCTCGTTGTGACAGAATAACAGTGATGAAACCTCACCCTAACCAAACCTTGATGAAATCGAGCATCACAGTTTCCACCGCACGTTTCGCATCAGTCATCTCTAAGCCACAAATTTCACTTAGCCCTACAGCAGCATCTGCATGCTGATAATCTATTCTCCCACAGCCTATAGAGAATAAAAGGTGTTTAAAAATGCAGGGACACTCGTAATACATTGTGTTAATGACACCAATTTGGGGTTCACCAGTTTAAAATTTTACAAATGAGATGTAAGTAATTTTAATTTGAACCAGGTGAGAGCCTCTGTATATTACGAGATGTGATATGTGGCAAAGGAAATTGAGAAATTGCATCATCATCATCTTGATTCACAGGCAGATGGCCCGTAGGTGTCCACTGCACATTTCGTCATTTGTTTACACTTTCCTCTCTGTCTTGTGCCACGATGCTTAGGTAGTGCCGCATCTTTCTGGCACCAATTCTCTGTTAGGTCTCCCCTTCTAGCCTGGAGGTGTGCATGCTTGGACTTACACTGAGAGACAGGAAGAGGAACACGTGTATTCGAGAGCATACCCAAGCTAGAAACATTGACCGTTAAGAAAAGTACATGAGCATGGGAAGAAGACATGTCACTCAAAAGGGATGATGGCCGGTGATCGAGGCGAATGACGGAGTGGCAGCCAAAAGAGGGAAAACGCCTAAGAGTTTTGTACACCACGGAGATGGAGCGAGATGAAGTCCGCGCGTGTGCAGGAGCTCGTTGGATTGTTGGATCGGGAAGTGATAAGAGATGGCGAATGCTAGGGGAGGCCTTCATTGATGTATCATAGGAAGCATGTTAATGGAGACCTGGGCCATGATGATGATTGCTTGTGTTGCAATCGAAACGTCGTGATTTGTTTTATTTATTTTCTAACTACGTGACTTTACCGAAATGAGCAAAGAGTATGGATTCCTGCAGTCACGAAAGCTTCAAATCAAGACGGATACAGTACTTTAACGATTCGCCCCTCCTCAAATATTCGATGAATGAACGCCATTCAAGGTCGCGATTCGATTCAAAGAATTAATCCTGTCAACATTGTGGTGAATGTAGCGCGCACGAGTGACTGCAGACACGTGAGCCCATTATTTGCAAACACACGAGGAGTTCGTAAAACATCCATTCTTACACGAGCCTAGGAACTGATGTTAATCGGCGCATCGATTTAATCGGCGCGTCTGAATAAACAGTCAAAGTGACGGTCTGTAGCTGTCGACCACGTGCGCCGACGTCATCGTCCAAATTTGCCAAGTAAAGAATGTACCCACAATATACGCATTTGGCAAAACACTTAGCATCGTCGCCCCCCCCCCTACTGTGAAACTTCTGCAGACTGTGAAGCAGAGGGCCTTCGGGATAGCCTCGTGTCATAAGAATGGCACGAATACCAAGCTTACGATTAATTTGATGTCAAGCAAAATGTGAAAGCCCTTTAAGACGAAACAAAGAGACCATCGTTTGAAGTAGACTCGTGGTCAACCGATTGTGATCCTTGGAAATTTCAGATTGATGATGGCTATCAGGGATATAATGATGGCTATCAGGGGTGTAATTATGCATCGATGAATTGATGAATATCAATGTGTATGCTAACGTACACGCATTGAATATCTCGTGTGAGAATCAATGTTGTTATATTGAGAATACGTTGAAAGTAATGGATTCATCGTTAACCCTGCTGCCACCGGCTGCCATGTCAATAAAATAATCGACTCTTAAATTGAATCGCCAGTCCTGAATAGCAGCTATTCATCGAAATGTTACACCACTAATGTTGACTTGCGTTGTGTGTCAACAGGCTCTCTCACCAGGCTCTCTCGCCTGGTTTATAAATAAGGAACGGTTAAATCCCCAATGACTAGGATCTCCTAGCCGTATTGGAGACGTGTCGCTCATTAAATTAACCGGCTCGTGTGTCCTTAACTTGCTGTTGCGAGCGTCCACGCATCCCAGCCACTCCGGCGTGTGTTCAGTAATGTTATTTGTCACGCGGCAAATGAAGGCGTCCTCTTGTGCCGCGCGAGCATTCGGTGCTCCCTGCTAATCATTTGAGCTGACCGCAGCTGCCTAGAGAGATGAGCATGAGCGGCAAACACCATTGCACACATTTTTCTGCTCCTCATTTGCATATGCAAATGGGGATGCGCGTTAATTGACTGTTGAGTATGCTGGCGGTGCAGGAAGGCGGAGGAACGATCCCGATGTTTAAAAATCCATTAAAGACGCCGGGACCTCTGCTGCTGCCTGTAAATGTGGCCGTTACCCGGGGAATTTGCATATGCAAATGAGGCATTAATTATTTGACTCATCATCGCTCGGCGCGCTTGAGTTGTGTTCCGAGTCAAACCGACAAGCTTGGCCGCTCGGCTGAGCGTGCACGGGACGTGTTTGGCATGCCTCTGCTTCGGAGGCTCACCTAATCAAACCGCCGTGCAGCCTAACCCCCCCCCCCCCATGCTCTTTGGGCTGCCATAGAAAGCTCTGTCATGGCCCTCTGCACACGCGGTCCCAACCGGACACTCGCTCTGCCCGATGCTGGGGACTGCTCTTGTGTTGCCCATCTCCTCCTACTTCGTTGTGTGTTGCGTCACTTGTTCGGCGTTGCTCTCTCCCGCCGCACCGGTGTGGCCTTACCGGCAAGGTTTCTCGGCGGTAGAGCGAGCGGTTCGCAATCGGGAGGTTGCCAGGGCAAATCCTGGTTGTGGTGTTGACTCGGCCCGTAATCTCTCCGGGTTGATAAAATGATTATCACTTTGTGTGAAAGTCAGTTTAGTTCAGTTCATTTATTAGGATTTACCCTGTGAGCCATTCGGCTCTTGATTTGGGTTCAACCGCAACAATAAAATTACAAGATACACCTAAAATTAATTGTACACAAATCTGAACATCACATACGTAAACAATAAAATCCTACAGAAAAAGCACAACCCGTCCATGCTGCGTACAAAAAGTGCAAAAAATAGAATTTCGATGTTTGATCCCAATAACAATCATAATACAATACAGATCAAAATTTGAAGTATAAATCTACGCTAAATAAAAAAATCGGGCCAAACCAAACCCCTCTAAAACTTACTAAAACATTGCTATATAAACAACGTAACAGTTTTCCCAACAAATGTGATTAAAAGTTTACAATAGCGACACACACAACACACATCACTAAACCCAGCATCCTTCGCGAGCTGTATAAGCCAATCCATAACAGCCGGATTAACAATAGCAGTAGCAGCGCACTATAATCACAATACATAATAATTTCATACATTGGTCATATATAGCTATATTTTTTTATTTCAGGCCCCCGGATAGCAGTGGCAGCTATGGTTGTACGACTCCTCTAGAGCATTCGTCCTTTGGATAGACTCATCCCCACCATAGGAATGTAGAATTTACGTCACTGGATCAGGGCTGTAAACACGAGATGAGCACATTGCGATGCTTATTTGAGCAATACATCGCTTTGACCTTGTGTGGATGAGCTGAGAAAGGTGTGTGAGCTGCCAGGTGGGTGGTGATGCAGGGTTATTATTATAATTTACACTTGTTTACCCAGTATAGCCTCACTGAGTCTCAAGACATTTTTTCAAGAGTGTCCTGCCAAGTTTTTTTTTTTTGCCGAAGTGGGAGATATTGCTTCGGTGTGTAATCCCAGTTGAGTAATTTGCAGGTAATTTTTCAGCTTTGGGATATTTGTTAGTTATAGGAGGAGATTGCAGAACCAGAAAGAAACCCATGCAGAACAGGGGGAGAACATGCAAACTCCACACAGAAACATACGTTTAGATCGTTTACATTATTTAAATTATTTGGCTGCTATACATTTCAACAACATCAGCCACTTCGTTGAGCTATCATTTGTGGCCAGGTCGCTTCTAAAAGAGAAGCGACAACTCAGTGGGCTTTACTTGATAAAACATTTTTTTGTATTTTTGTTAGTGATTTGCTTACCTTTCCTATACTTTGCACTCCTGTTTTTTTTATTGTTGTAACGTTTTCACCTTCCCCTACTGGACACCTGTGAAAAAGAGCTTCATAGTTCATCGGATTCCTCCGTATATAAATATTCAGATTCTGAGAAAGGAGCCCGAGTCGGCACCCGAACCCAGGAGCTTCTTGTTTCGAGGCGCAAGTGTGCCACTCTACCGCCCAGCAAGTGCATCCCAAGGGCAATGATGCTGGATGCTGGTGATGCTCGCTGGGCATTGAGAGCGCCACGCGCGCGTGTGTTGTGCTGCGTGCAGATGTTCTCTCCACCGGGTGAGCAGTCGCCATGCGGGCCACATCCCCGCTGCAGCGGTCTACCTGGAGGTCCCGGTGAGTGTGGACGAGGAGTGGTGAGTGCTGGTGGTGAGCGTGTTGGTGTGGTGATGATGGTAAGCGTTGTGGTGAACAAGCTGTGAGGTAGTGATTCTCATGCGTATGGGTGTGAGAATGGGGTAGTTTTGGTGTGCATGGAGATGAGCAGGGCTGTGTGGTGGTATTGGTGAGCATCAGCCATATGGCTTACTGGTAGTGATGGTGAGTGAGAGCTGAGAGCGAGCTGTCCATGACTTTGAACCAATACCATAGCGTAGGAGGCCTTGTCTGCTATGATGCGGCAGTGATGTTTAACAAATGCTTTTATCTTGCATCAGACACACCACCCTACGAACATTTCTCCTCCGTTAACGTGCGCACAAAATTTGAAATATGCAGAGGTGCTGTGAGCTGCTAGCGGTTTTTATTTCTGTGTGGGGAAGCGCCGACGGCCATTACTGAGCTGTTTGCTGCTGGCGCGGAGCCCAGAAGCACTTGGGCCAAGCGTTGTGTGTCCTTATTTGCCCACAATGCAACAACACGTTCACCGCACACACCTAATTGTCAGTCCAAAGGTACCGGCATTGCTGACAGCAGGGACAGGATCCCAATACGGGACTGACGGCCGTCGTTCTATTCTCCGTATAGTAGGGGCGAGGAGCATTTTCCTTATGGAGGGCCAAGTATGATTTTCAAACACCTTTTGGCGGGCAACCACACATCATGCCAGACCTTCGGCAGCGTTGTCCAATAACAACGCAAACAAAATAGCCGTGGCTCACCTTTGCTTGGCTCCATAAAATGAGAAACACAGTGTTGTCAGTTTTAAAGTATTGCCCTTCCTCAGCTCATAACTGCTTAGTATGGCTTAGATGCTTGCAGTGATTAATAAATGTAATTTTCGGTCATTTTCAAAGTGGCGGGGCCCTCTAGTCGTGGGCGATATGAAGTGCTATAATCTCCTAAATGTAAAAAAAAAATGTGATTGTATTTATTTGTGACAATCATATTACTTGTGTGGGTGAAACAATGCACCTCGAATGCTAATGCTAAATTTAGGCTATTGGGGTGAACAAAACTCCATTAAAACAACAACAAAAAAACTAAATAAAACTGACACTTCATCGAATCGCTGGTTTGGGGTGTGGGTAGTTAATAGTTCCATGCCAAGTAATCAGTGCTGGATTATCCTAGCAGCAAAAGTAGCAACGCATGTAGTAGCTACGCATGTAGTAGCTACGCATGTAGTAGCTACACATGTAGTAGCTAAACATGTAGCAGCTACACATGTAGTAGCTACACATGTAGCAGCTACACATGTAGTAGCTACACATGTAGTAGCTACGGGCCCCACACTTTCAAGGGCCCCGCGCTAAACGCTTTCAAGCTATCAATGCCGGTTCAGTGATTCTGCTCTTGCTCTATTACTATAGTACTGTACTGCCTTCAACTTTTTTGAACGACTGGGTGTTTAAGGTTAGCGATTTGTCGTATTATCTGGCTGTATAGCAAATGAAAAAATACAATTTACTATGCAAGTAAAACATTTATGTTTTTTTACGGCCCCTTTATAACACCATATGCTACAGGCCCCGGATTAGCTTAATCCGGCACTGCTAATAATCAGTCGAGGGGAGTGCCGGTTCTCACCAGGAGTTTACTGACACCTATGCTGGTGTCAGTAATGATGGTCGGCTCAGAGATAGGGCAAGGCCACCAAACTGGGCCTTCGTGCTGCCAGCTCCTATCGGTCAACTGAGCTATATAGATATTTTTCAGAAGCGACCTGGCTCCCACAAATGATAGCTCAACGAATTGGCTCATCATCGTGTGGACATTTTTCGCAGCCAAATACTCAAAGCGCATGTTTGTAAATATAGAGGGGAAAAAAAAAACGGAGGACCCGGAGAAAAAAAATCCACACGAGAATGGGGAGAGCATACAAACTCCAAATATACAGGCGTCAAGGTCGGGGTCGAACCAACGACCTCTTGTATACCAGCCAAAGTAGTTAACATTTCGCCCTGGTTCGCGTTGGGGGGTGGGGGCAGCCGCTTAACTCCGCCGCTTGACTCCACCGCGAAGGCCGTTGCTGTGATTGCGCGGTGCAATAACACGCCGAGCAGGAATGCTGCCGTGTTAATAAGCCCCGAACCCGCGTCGATTGGTCACAGGTGCGCAAACAAAACCTCGGTCGCTTGGGTTCACCACTCCGGCCACACTCATCGCACTTTCACCCGGCGACGAGGACACCCGACGCGTAATTGTGAATTAATGAGTTCGTTTAGGCGTCGATGGTGACGGTGCTGCAGCAGCGGTGGCAGCGCACGCCACAGGTGAAGAACGCTGGGGCGGGCAGCGTTGTCTCAATGAAATGGCTCTGTGTGTGTGTGGAGCTGGGGGGGAGTGCTTCGGTGTTGTGTGGAGGCTTTGCTTGGTTTGTCCGCTAAACAGAGTAGACGGAGACTCAGGACCAGCAATATCCACTGCCGCTCAGAGGTCGCAACCGGGTACCCGATACCCGTACCCTACCCGATACCCGGCTATCCGTACCCGGCCGGGTACGGATAGCCGGGTATCGGGTAGGGTACGGGTACCAGTTTGCTACCCTGGTGCGGCCGGGTACGGATACGGGTAGGCCGTGAGTCACTGGTGAGTAACTGTTTGTCACTCATTTCCCAACGTCTTGTCTCTTCTCACAATTCAAGTTCCTAGAATCAACCCACCCGCGCCTGCAACATGGCTTCATCCCAGAGGTCGCAATCAGGTACCCGATACCTGTACCCTACCCGGCCGGGTACGGGTAGGGTACGGGTACGGCCGGGTACGGGTACCCGTTTGCGACCCTGGTGCGGCCGGGTACGGGTACGGGTAAGGAATCAAAACCCGTTTGCGATCTCTGCTGCCGCTCCAAGGATACCATCAGACTGGATGCAGTGTGGTTGGCATGAGCCATGGTGCAATGAATGAAATGGGCTTCCCTGTAAAGCTTCCCTCCCCCCTCCTCTACAGCTCTACAGTTATATCCCACAAAGTGGGTATTCATCTTATCGACTCTGTAAGGACGATTAACACGCTCGGACAACCCGCAACTGATATTTGAACTTGTGACTTTCCAATTGTGAGCAAAGTGCTATGACCATTGCGCCACTCAGCCGCATTACCAATACACAAGTTATCGTGTGCCATGACTTGGGTGATTCCCGGGCAAGGCTCACATCAGTTAGCGAGCGATGCCTTAAACAGCTCTAGTTTGCTCCCTTCAACAACCATAACCCAAAACACATTCCTGCGGAGGGAGTTGGTAGGAACGTTGGGTTGCTCGGTCAATGGCCTGCAGGGTCAACGGCGGCGTGGTGTATTCCGCAAATATGCCCGAATGTGAGGGCGGGCACAAGCCGGCGTGAGTAGGGTAAACGTTGAGTTTTATAAGGGCACCACGGGGTGACCAGCCCCTCCCCACCCAGCCCCACCCCTCCCACCCCCCACCCAGCCCCACCCTCCCCACCCAGCCCCTCCCCACCCACCCCACCCAGCCCCTCCCCACCCACCCCACCCAGCCCCTCCCCACCCTCCCCTCCCCTCCCCACCCAGCCCCTCCCACCCCCCACCCTCCCCACCCAGCCCCTCCACACCCTCCCCACCCACCCCACCCTCCCCACCCAGCCCCTCCCCACCCAGCCCCTCCCCATCCTCCCCTCTCCACCCAGCCCTCCCATTTTTGGCTGCACGACGGACAGACGGACGGACACAATAATCCCCTGTGGGCTGGTGGAACCAGGTGGTTCCTACCAGTATAACATGGAGAAGTATGGCAAAAACAACTCCTACGATTAACATGGTATAAGGAGGCCTCAGTCCAGCAGTGGATTAGAATGTCATTACGTTACCAGGAGGTTAGCGGCGTGCAGGAGGTCCCAGTGTTTGGGAGGCAGGGTGTCTCTGTTGGTCGTGTGATGTCTGACCGAGGGTGACCCACCCCACTTAGCCCCATCCTCCCCACGCGATGGCCGCCAGGACTGCATTTTTAAGAAAGAATGCCCCTCCCCCTCCGTCGTGTAGAGTTGTGTCGGTGTGCTGTGTGTGTGTGTCTGTGTGAGTCTGTGTGAGTGTGCTGTGTGTGTGTGTCTGTGTGAGTCTGTGTGAGTGTGCTGTGTGTGTGTGTCTGTGTGAGTCTGTGTGAGTGTGCTGTGTGTGTGTGTCTGTGTGAGTCTGTGTGAGTGTGCTGTGTGTGTGTGTCTGTGTGAGTCTGTGTGAGTGTGCTGTGTGTGTGTGTCTGTGTGAGTCTGTGTGAGTGTGCTGTGTGTGTGTGTCTGTGTGAGTCTGTGTGAGTGTGCTGTGTGTGTGTGTCTGTGTGAGTCTGTGTGAGTGTGCTGTGTGTGTGTGTCTGTGTGAGTCTGTGTGAGTGTGCTGTGTGTGTGTGTCTGTGTGAGTCTGTGTGAGTGTGCTGTGTGTGTGTGTCTGTGTGAGTCTGTGTGAGTGTGCTGTGTGTGTGTGTGTCTGTGTGAGTCTGTGTGAGTGTGCTGTGTGTGTGTGTCTGTGTGAGTCTGTGTGAGTGTGCTGTGTGTGTGTGTCTGTGTGAGTCTGTGTGAGTGTGCTGTGTGTGTGTGTCTGAACGGCTCCGTGTTGGGGAGCGGTAGGGTCACGGTTAGCGCTACGAACACGACGACCCGAATTTGATTCCCACTTAATGGTCAACACCAGTGACGATTATTTGAAATGGTCCTGCGCCTCCCCAAGGTCGACTCAGCTTCAAATGAGTATCTGGTGCGCCGTCTAAACATTACCACTGGGGAGACAAAGGCGGTCGGGCGTGGTACTGGCCACCCTTCCCCCCCCCCCGTCCCGTTTACTGTGCCGGCCTTCATAGGTGCTCGCGTAACAAAAGTTAAGGCTGAAACGGGGGATCTCTGTCTTTGTGTGTCTACGTGTGTCACTTTGTGTGCCTATGTGTGTTTCTTTACGGGCGTATGTCTGTGTGATTGTCTCTGTGTGTGCGAATGTCTGTGTGAGTGTGT